CAAAATTTACATGCACAAGCTCCAAGTTAGCGAGAAGGCCAAGACCGACTTTGCATTTCTCAACTCCCATCGATAATTGAAATAATAGATATTTTCATGTTTCTACGGCAGTTTTCATGTAGTTTGCGGCCATTTTCTACTGGCCAGAGTGAGAGCCAATAGCTAGCTGTCACGAATAGGCAGGAAGATTCTATTGGCCAGCGTGAGAGCCAACAGCTGACTGATACGAATGTTAACTAGCATTCTAGCATGCAAAAATAAAATCGATAGCTGCATTCGTCACAAGTGGGAAAAATTTAATCTGCATGGCACTTTACTCCAATTGGCTCATTCGCTTACATAAACTCAACGTTGATTCTGATTCTGCAGAACTTGGTAGGGTGTGAAAAAGTATTTTTTGTTAACATTCTTTTTTCATTCGGTTTTTCCAGTTACGAGTCCTTTTTTAAAGCTGATCGTTTTGTGTTCATTGTGTTTAGTTCTTTTTTCGTAACAGATTTAATGTTTAGTATAGAGCTTAGAAAAAAATCGCAGTGTGAGATAGGCAAGAAGTAAGGCATGTAGCAACATCAGCACGGCAATGGGCACTCCTTTAAAGGCAAGGAACGTCAAAAATATTTTAAGTCAAGTAAGAGCGATTGCTGTATGATTCGTGCAATTTTTAAATCAAGCATGGGCAACGCTGGGCCATGCTCCTAGTTACAAAATCAAATCCTTGCATTTGCCCCAGTAAAGTCACTCAGACCTCGATCGTATGTATTCATACGGTCACCTAAGTTTATACCGTCTTAATTTTGGCAGCTAGATGCATATCGTTTTACTTCCAGAATAAATAAATTTAAGTTCTGTTTTTAATATTTCTAATATTTAAAATCTCATCCATTTTTTTTTGTTTTTCTGCCACCTCGGATCTTTAAAAATTTAAATGCAACGTCAATCGCTAAATCTTGTCTTCATTAAACTTTTCTTTTATTGTCACTAAATTCTTCTTATTCTCTGTCACTCTCAGTATGCCCTAGCGTTTCAGTGGCATTATAGCCTTCTTTGCAATGAAATAATTATGTAAAAAAAATAGATTATAGTGTTAGGGGAAAATCCTCTAGCGTCGGTTGCACAAAGTAGCAGTTCGAATTAAGAATGGGTTCTTGTGAAACTTATATCTTAACAAAGACATACAAAGTGAATAATAATATTTGGACTCTGAGAGTTAGAATTCGTGCAACTAAGGAGTGTATTTGCTCATAATATTTTCATTCAAATTGCGATCTATTAGCGAGAAATATGTAATGTCTGTGGGAAATGTGTTGTAAGAGTGGAAAATATACGCTTTTGAACCCCTATCAATGACAAACAGTGATGTGCGTCTCAGTAATCAGTTTTCGGTCAGGTCTGGTTTTCTAAAAGCTAAGCAGTGTATTACGAGACACGAATGTTTCGTTGGAAACAAAGAAAAGAGTGCCGGGTTGTTACTTGATATATGTCCCCCTGCATGGTAGCGAATGCTGGACAATCTCCTCAAAGATGAAAAAGAGACTCCAAGCAACAAAAGTGGGGTTCTACGGAATGATGCTAATGATACCATGGACCAAACATGTGGGCACCGACGAGATTTTGGAGAGAATAGAAACTAAGAAGGAATTTATACTTAGCATCAGGAAGAGTCAGCTGAAATTTCTGGTACACGTAATGAGAATGGAAGGTTTGGAAAATATGATACTCACAAGACAGATAGAGAGAAAGATGAACAAAGGAAAACATTGCGTGACATACTCAATGGGCTTGAACAAGTGAATGGCGGAACAGGGTCTGGGAGAAATTACAAAAAGACAAAAACATTTTAAGAGCTACAAGACACAGGAGGAAATATAGAGCCATGAGCGTCTACTCGCAAGGCGGATAAAGGGATAAGTTCTGAGAGCAATAACAAAAAGACAAATCTTATTGAGAGCTACAAGGACCAGGAGGAGGTGGAGAGCCATGATCGCCTACTCACAAGGCGGGTAAAGAGAAAAAGGAACAAGGGAGAGCAACGCGTGACATACTTAAGCAAGTAGAATGCAGAATAGGTTCTGGGATAAATAACAAAAAAAAAATTTTTTAAGAGCTACAGAGGACAAGATACATACTAAATGAAGAACGAAGAGTGATAGAAATACTTTTTAAGAGCTACAGACAAGACACATACTAAATGAAGAACGAAGAGTGATATACTTACTGGAACGGTAGATGAAACTATGTTACCAGCAACATCAGTGACGTATTGTATATATGAGTTCCACTTGAGTCCGAGGATCAACTTGAATCCCCATAGACATTCAAAGGAAGTGTAGCTCACATTGAATAACCACTCACGTCATGAGTCACTATGATATGAAACATTCATCAGACGAACTAAAATATCTGATTACAAACTCTATAGAAGTTTCAAGCAAATCTGATTGCAATTACAAGTAGTTGACCTCATATCGAATCTAAATGTTCTCCTTGCCATCTGGACAGTATTGTATTGCAAGACTTGCGTTGATTTTATTTCTACCGACGAGTAGGAAATCGCCTACACTCACAAACTGTTCAGGGAAAAAATGACAGTTGAAGACAGGAAGACGATTGCTTTATTCTCCCTCTACACATAAACACAAAAAGTAGACATTTGTTGATCTAAAGACTATCACCTGAAATCTTTTAATTTCTTGATCAATTCTATATTTCTCTTGCATCTAAATGTATATAAAACCTCAAGTCTACGTAGGCTTTCGTTTTGAAAATGCAGTTTGTTTACTTATCCGTTAGTCTATACATTCTCCAAAGGATTTTATGATTTACTCCCTGTCTAAACAGATATTTTTCTATTGTTCTCTCAATACAAGTCCCAAGGTCAACTGAAGGTAGTGAGTTAGTGAATGGAGATATTGTAAAGGCGTATAGTTAGAAAACAAAGGTTGCTTATTATGAGTATATACACGATAGATAACGGTTGACACTCAACTTGAAGATGTTAAGATTGTAGGGATCAGGAGAGAAACTGTCTGACTGAAACTTACTCCTTACCAATGGTATATGAAGGGAATTAGGATGGGTCGGCACAGTATGTGTGGCTTAGTGAGTCCCAACTCTGAATAACTGGAATACTGAAACGACAAAAATGTACTTCGACTGAAATATTTCCATGGATATAGTGGCTGAGTAGCAAGCGGCTTAATAATTTCGGCTAAGCCAGTACCACGTACGGCGATATGTCTTAGTCATTGTTATATACCGTATACATGATCATTAATGGTTATGTTTTAATTCTCATAAATAC